GATGATATCTTATTTGTTAGTAGTGACATTGGCCTGTTACACGAGACTCAACATTTTTTATCTCAAAGTTTTGAAATGAAAGATCTTAGTGAAGCCTCATTTGTCATTGGCATTGAGATTCAACGAGATAGATCTCGTGGGATTCTTAGATTGTATAGAAAATGTTCTTAAAAGATTTGATATACAACATTGTAAAGGTGGAATTGCCCTTATAGCAAAGGGTGATAAATTTAGTAAATTCCAGTGTCCGAGAAATGACCTACAGCGGGAGCAAATGAAAAACATTCCCTATGCATCTGCAATTGGGAGTTTGATGTATGCTTAGGTTTACATACGGCCAGACATAGCATTTGCTGTTGGTATGCTAAGCAAATACCAAAGTGATCCTGGCATGGATCATTGGAGAGTGGTAAAGAAAGTAATGAAGTACCTGCAAAAGACAAAGAACCATTTGTTTATATATAGAAGGACCGACATGCTTGAAGTGGTGGGTTATACAGACTCTGACTTTGCTGGTTGTCAGGATAGCATGAAATCCACTTCAAGATTTATCTTCATGATGGCTGGAGGAGCAATTTCATGGAAAAGTATTAAACAAACACTAACAGCTTCATCCACCATGGAGGCAGAGTTTATTGCATGTTATGAGGCCACTTGTCATACATTATGGTTACGGAACTTCATCTCAAGACTTATGGTGGTAGACTCTATTTCTAAACCATTGATGATTTTCTGTAACAATTTCGCTGCAATTATGTATTCAAGGAACAATAAGAGTTCAGGAAAATCTAGACATATAGATATTAAATACCTTGTTGTAAAGGATAGGATTCAGAATCATCTTGTGTCTATTGAGTTCATTAGTACATAACAAATGATTGTTGATCCCATGACTAAGGGGTTGTCGCCTAAGCTATACAATGAGTATGTTGCTCATATGGGTATTATTGATAGCTTTGATTTACTTAGTGGGAGGTTGTTTTTTGACTCAGTTGTAGACACATTTGTATTTATAATTACAGTTACTTATATTATATTATCCTCATTTATTTACTTTTCCATATTGGTGCACGTGTATATGGAAAATTATAAGTGTCATTTATGAGACATGGCGTGTCCTTATTGAGACACAGTAGGACCGAAGCATGGCATTACACTTTATTGTTTAGCACATGCGGTATTTATGTATAAACTTGAAGTTGAGTGTATTAATGTTTGTGACCATTGATGTCTTATATTATTAAATAATATAATGACGTTCTTGATCCAATATTGCTATACTTATAAGGACTTCATGAAAGTTGTTTGTACAATGATTCTCTAAATATAGATAATTTATTTAAAGTATGCACACCAACATTGTTTAAAAAATATTTTTCAAATATATATATATATATATATATATATATATATATATATATTTTATTTATATGATTTTATAATTATCCATATTTAAGATATGTGACTGTTATCATATAACTACAGTTTATTTACAAAAGGGTGTGTTGGTTGATGAACCAACATGTCTCTTTTTGGTAACGTTTAAGAAACGGTCTCAGCTCTCTCTCTCTCTCTCTCTCTCTCTATGTTTATATATATATATATACACACGTAAAAGAAAGTCTGAATCCATTGTCTGTTTTACAAGAAAAGATAGGGAGTTGAAAAGTCAAGAGTATTTCTGATATAGTTCATCTCAAACTTAAACTGCTAAAGATGACAAATATGTTTCTAAATAATGTTTATACATTAGAACCGTCTATTTTATTATTTTTAAATGACTTACGGTTATATCAAATTACAATCCGTACTATTTCAAGGATATGAAACATTTTCAACAAATTTTCATTGTCAATGCATTCTTGAATGATTTAATGGCGTGATGTGGCATTGAAGATCCATCAACCAATATCACGTCAATAGAAAAAGAAAGTAAAAAAATTGCAAAAGGATTCACACGTGATTAAAATAAGTTACTATTTGCTCATTTGAATTTTAAGGATCGGAGACCAAATCTAGGAATCTCACTGAGAAACATGCCTATCCCTCGTTAGGATTCCGTGTCTAGCGATTTGATTTAGCTCAAAGCCTACATAAGTCTGATTTCATTCATCATTTCTAAGCACAACTATATAATTTGACATACAAAGTTGACAGTTTCATGTTAATGGGCCAAATAAGATTAATGATTCCAAAGATATGTAACACTGTCAAATAACATAACATTTTAAATTAAAAAAAAATTAATTATTTGACTCATTAAAATTGATATTAAATTCAAATCATGCCAAATATTTGCTTAAAAAGTGTTATTTCCAAACTGTGCAATTTAGATGTACACTTAATTAATGTAACCCAATCAAAATCATCAAGTTGATTGAATCAGAGCATGTGTTTTGATAGAGGAGTGAGCACAATTTTTTGCTAGCACCAAGGCTGACATGACTAGTAACAACGCACAATTTTTGGCCAGCGACATCAAGGCTGAAATGACTAGTACAACATATGGCCATTGATAGAAGTTTCATATACGTCATGTACAGGAGTTTTGAAAATTTATTTAAATAAAAATCACAACTGTCGAATTTGACTATCAATATTACAAGCATAAGGGGTTGGCCCACCTTATACCAGGTTGTTGCTACTGTGCATGGCCAATTCGCCATTTACTTGTCATTAACGCCACTTGCCCCCAAGTCCATATCCACCCAATCGTGACCTTCTATTATCACTTATCATACCTCCGTCTCTATTTAATTATTTTATTCATACTTGTAAAATAATTAAATAGGGATGGAGGTAATATTATTTTATAAAATTCTCACACTCTTTTGGTTAAAAATTGGCTTGAAGAAATTTGAGTTTTCTAATTTTTTTAAAACCAAATCGAGTCTTGCCTACATTACAAAAACCCAAAAAACCAAGTGAAAGACAATATGAAAGATAGAATTATAGACACAAGCAATCTATTTGGTTCATTTTCTTGCGAACAATTTTCTGTTTTTGAAAACTAAAATTACAATATTGTTCAGTTCTAGAAAACTGTTTTTTGAAAAATCAGTTAAAAAATATTACTTTTAGATAACTTATTTTATAATTACCTTAAAGCAAATTTTTTGTTTTGAGTTTTTTGAAAACATAAACCAAACATATTGACGGAGTTCCACGTAAATTTAAACTTGTCTCCCCTAAAATTCAACCACGTCCCAACAATGGTGTTCCCCTCGTGAGCAATATATATATATATAGAGAGAGAGAGAGAGAGAGTTCTGGATAGGCCTGAGAGCTTATTTAAGTGATGACTAGTGACCATCAACAGATTCTAAGTATACATTTTGAGGAACTTTTGAAATTACAACATGAGTAGTAATTCATACAAAATGATTTGAAAAATAACGTTTATGTGATCACTGAAATAAATTTAATTATAGATAAAATGAGACATGCATTTAATTGAGATTTTCTTATGACAAGACAATAAATGACTAAATTTTAAATTTGAATACCTAAATGAAACTAACTTGAACTTGAATACATACATGAAACTAACATCCAGCATTTGTATGGCGCCTCTTCTCTATTGGAGGTCTTAGTGGCAGCCGCCTTATTGTTGAACCGTCCGTTTGACTGAAAAACTTAAAAAAACGGTGTGAAAATATAAGAAAATCATCTTCTTTTTTTTTTTTTCTCTATTGAGATTTAAACTTCTGATCTCTTTTTAAGAAGTAAGAGTCCGATACCGCTATGCCACTGGCCTATTAATATATAATACACAATTTGTTGTAATTTTATAGCAAATTAAACAAAAAATAAAGTAATTGAATATCTAAGTAGAATTTCATCAATTCAACAATATGTCAAATAATAATAATAATAATCCTATCCCTTATGCCACGTCACAGGCTCTTGCACAATTTTGCACGTTAAAGCAGCCATCCAAGTTGATAAACCGTTGGTCCGCTGCCCCCATCATGGACAATAGCCCACGTCAATTGGCTCTCGTCCCTTACATCACCTACCTCATGTGCACCCGTGGAACTCAGCTATATCGCAATACAATATATTTATATCAAAGATATATATATATAACAATACTGGTGTAACATATTATATTATTTTGTAATGTTATTATATTATTAAATTAAAATTTTAACACATTTTCATAGTTATTATATTGTCGATTTAAAGTTATATCGAGTTTGATCAAGTTTCAAATCAGCACCTTAAATTTAGAATTAGTGAAAATTGTATAAAATTTGAACTAAATTTCTTTTCAATTTCAAATTCAAAACGTTCATTCGGTATTTTTAAACATAATATTCTTACATTCACAATGTAACGTGAATACATTCAATACTGAACAAAAATGACACAAAAGATGATCATGATTTCATCTACCCCTTCCACATTATTGGAACTTAAATTGAAATTGAAAATTATATACAAGGACTCAAAACTTTAATTTAGATGATCAATTACTATTTTAAAATAGATTTACACTATAATTTAACAAGTTTATCGCTGCTCATTTTATTTATTGAGTAACATAGTTAACCAAACCAAAATATCACAAACATCTAATAATTTTATTCATATTTTAGAATATTTAATCTACTAATTGAGCAATTGGTCATCAATTAGACAAGAGTGTTGACCATCTCTCTTGCATGGTATGCAATATTTGCACATGTATATAATAAGACCAGTACTGCCGTGTGGTACCAGCTTTTTATCTCAACCAACAAAACGTGTGCATATCATCTTTCTCTCTCTCCTCTCTCTCACACACACACACACACTGAGAATAGCAACACTTGCGGACCTTTATCGACACTTATGTTTGTTGCTGAATTGAGAATTTAATACATTTACATAGTTGTTGCATTGCGGATTCATTTAAAATTGTCATATTAACGATTTAAAGTTATTAAGTTATCAAAAGATCGAAACAGAACGAAAAAGAGACCAAAGAGGATCTGATTGATCAGTTATTCAAAAGGTGCAACAAAATTTATAAATTGAATTAATTGTCAAACTTTACAATTATATATAGAAATGTAAGCCATAAAATCTTAAATGGGCTACTAAGTAACTTCATCTCTGTTATTTCTAGTTAAAAAAAAAAAAAAAAAACAAAGCCTATGAACACTTTTTGATTGATTAATAATCTAATTGTGGAAGTTAATTAAAGAGCAAAAAACTACTTCTTCACAAGGAATAGTGAGACCCATGTCATGGTTAAATCCAAACTCGTCTTCAGCTCTCTGAAGCAGACTTTGAAACTCTGGATGATCCAACCATGAAATCGGAATGATGTATCTGCTTCTGTTTTCTCCTACGTAGACCACGAAATGACCTCTCGGTACGTCGTTGGGAAGGCCTTCGGGATTCTTCCCAAAGCTCGAGAGTCTTCTGAGGAGTTGCTTGAGGGTTGCTGGTTGAGGAAGTACTTTGTTTGACTTCTTGAGAGCCATTGATATAACTTTTAGAGAAGTGCTTGTGGTCTCTCTCTAGCTGTGTGTGTGTGTGTGTGTGTGAGAGAGAGAGAGAGAGAGGGAGAGAGGGATTGGTGGGGAAGGGTTGAAGGGGGTGGTGAGGTATTTATATATGGGGAAGAGAGTGAGAAACTGAAGTCATGTGCAGTGTTGGGACAAGGAACTAAGCATGGGGTGTTATGGGGGCGTTTGTTTACGAGGGCAGAGAGTTCATACCTCATATGGGCATACCCTACTTTGTTGCCTCTCCTAAATACATATCATGGACCTCTATCTCCGTATCTCTCTCTCTCTAATGGTTCGCTGTATCGTCCGATACGCGACGTATTAGTTGATACGCAACTCTTTTTCAAGTTTGATACGCGATCCATATCAACCAGTTTATATTGTTTTTATCCGAATCCATTACACCGAGACCGCAATTAATACCTCAACCACAACTGATACTGCAATAGTATGTATATATATATATATTTCTAATTTCCTAACATTTTGTCCTCAGTCTATTGAAATAGTTCTACTTGAACAGTAGTACTAGTTGTACCTGATATTCTCTGCAGCATAGCACACGTGTTGTATTGCTTTAGGCGGCTTCACACATTAGCATATGGCCGAAGAATAAGACTCAACAAAAAAACACCACTTGTAGTGGAGTTCACAATGGGATTATAAGTGCCGAAAAACTCGAATTCAAACACTATATCATTTTTCATTACGTGAGGATAATTGTTATGATTTAATCACGAGAAATATTAATTGCATATGCATATTATTAGAAGATATTTTTGAACAAAATGCAGTAGTTTTGATACTTTTAAATCACCTGCTCTTTTGTTTTGGAGAAATGAGAGTATTATATGGATCACCTATAGAATTTCTGTTTTTTTTAACAGTACTCTTTAGCTATTTCATAATCTGTCCAAGTATATATAATAAACTATATAAAAGCAAAAACAAAGTGGTTATCACAACGTGTGGCTCAAATTCAGTGTGATGACATGGACACTAATCCTTATCATGGATATTCCAACTAGGAAATAAAATAAAATAAAATAAAATAAAATAAAATAAAAAATTGAAAAACTTGGCTTCTTTTAAATTTTTCTTTCATTTTTTCACCAAGACAAAAGTAACTGCAAAATGTCAAAATATTATCAAAGAAATTACCCAAATTCTTATTTATGCTGAATTGTTTAATTGAAGTTAGGTGTGAGTTGCTTTTTCCACACTTACAAAACTTATTTCATTCAGCATATTATATGATTTAAGTGTTTTTTTTTTTTTCCTCCGAATTACATGATTTAAGTTAGTAGAGGCTGATGGTAACCTAACTACATTTGGACCCCACAAATACCAAACCAGAGACATACAGACAACAATATACAAATCAAACTGCTTGTTGAGTTGCGTGAGCTTGTGCTTCCTACTTTGGTCGAACAAAGAATTAGACATGTATCTCAGGCTTGTCAGTTTGAATGTGTATCTACAATTTTCAAACAACTTTAAAAAAATAAAATTGAGATTTTCATGAAATTTGTGTTTTAAGAAGAAGTAAAGAAGTCATCTGACCTAACACACCATGAAACACGGATCACTCAACCTTTCCTTAATAAAAGAGGGATCGTACCATCTGGACTAATGCCCAATAATTCTATGAAGACGAAGATTGCCCATAAACAATAAGAGAAACATTTTATGTATCAGAAGAATCCAAGGGACTTCTATTATGCTAACATAGGGCAACCCTAAATGAATGAGCTTCATGGTGATCCATGGTCACCCACACAACCATTACTGCTCTTATAGACTACTTGGCCTGCCCATGTGTTGATACATATATATATATATATATACAAGACAGATTTTCATCAAGTATTTTAAATCACCTTCATTATTTCATATATGATATATATGTATGTATATAATTCTATGCATACACTAACATATACATACATATGTTAATGTAGAAGGAATGAAGATGGAAGTTTGTTTTTATGCTAGTCTTTCACTTGTTAACTAAGAGTGTCTCAACATCAAAGGACTTCCCATGTGGTCTTGATAGAGCCTAAAACCAGCATAGTAGGAAATAGGAATATAAGAGACATGAGCAGACGCATTCCTACTAAAATGAGAACCAACAACATTGGCTATCTCTGGTCTCTGCTCTAATGACACCTCTGTTTCCCATGTTCTGAGGCCTAGAGGAAGCAGACATGTTCCTACCAAAAAAAAATGAGCAGTAACACTACCTATCCCATGTTCTGAGGTCCAAGAAAGCCATTTTCAAAAGGGTACTCCCTCTGTACTTCTGAAAACTCCATCGACAACTTGAGCCGTCTCTTAAGCAAGAAGAATCATCTTTGCCATTTCAAACCATTTTGGAAGAAACAGAGTAGTATTTCAAGGAGAGAGAGCTATAGCATTTTCCGTAAACCAGCAAGGGCACTCGAAAGCTGAAGGATAGAGAATTGGTGGATAGACAGACCATCAGTGTCACAAGTAGGCAAAGACCAACTCAGCTTAATCAACAAAAAGTAACTTTTCTTGGTTGATACTGACCCTGCATTTGATTAGCATGTGAAGCCATGTTACTCTTGCCTTCAAAACCTTCCAAAAAGAAAAAAATATCAACTCAATCCTAAATCATCTTCAGCTATACCAAATTAAGCATAAAAAAACTGAACTTTTAACCTCACTCCTATTAGATTAAAGTATAACATGCTTCTCAAATAGGTTAAGAAGAGCCACTGGTTGAGGCCTTCCAATGTGAAAAATATTAGAAATCTACCCTATCATTGCTTGCAAACAAACTCTACGTATAGGGCTTCAAATGAACCAAAATGTATAAAAAAAAAACTCGGACGAAGCTTTTGAGCTTGAACAGTCTCAGAGAGATCCATTTAAACGAGCCGAGCTTGAGCTATGATAGGCTTGGCTTGTAAACACCTAATATTTTCCCTACTTGTTTGTTAATTTGAAATAAATATAAGAATGAATGAGCTAAAATGGAACATCCTTGAACTCATCCTAAGCTTGTCATAAACATTATGGACTTGCATAAGCACACAAGAATTTATTAATAATTTAATAGGGAAATAAAAGAAAAGTCAAGAAATGAAAATCATTGTGGTGTCTAGATAAGGATTCAAAATAAAAGAAAAGTCCAGAAATGAGAATCATTGTGGTGTCCAGATAAGGATTCAAAATAAAAGAATAGTCCAGAAATGAAAATCACTGTGGTGTCTAGATAAGGATTCAGAACTAACTTGAAGACAATGACAAGAGAGACATCAACAAACTACAACATGTGACAATGTAAACACATTTCAGTACCACCACATAAAACAAAACAATAGCCCTTCAAATTTCAAATCCAACATTACACAGAATCCATACAACAGTTTAAAGTGCTGCTTAACGAAGGTTGACTCACAAAAGGACTTGGAATTAGATAATGCTGAGCTGTTTTTAGAAAGAATGATTGTTAAGGGATGCTGCCATGTCAGTTCCCATGCTAATGTCACAAGGGATTGCGTCAAAAATGTTCCCCGTGGTGTCATTACAGTTTCAGCTTCCAAGACTATGAATGGTATAAATACCCGACAAATATTAGCACAAAATCATGAAATTTTGAAAATAGATGATAATATCAAGCAAAAAGTTATACAAAGCACAACAGACAGTACAATTAATTACGCAAAAGAAAAATAGAAAACAATTAATTATAAAAAATAAAAAAATATTAACATAGAGAACAATTATATAAAAGCATTCTTTCCTTCAATTTGATCCTAATACTACATAACCAACTGCAATTCTTATCCACAAACTTCAGTCATTCATTCAGCTCTTGCAAAAGGAGGAAACCAGCTCCTGTTCCCACCCCAAAACCCCAATTGGAAGGGGGAAAAAGCAAAAGCAAAAAATATGTAATAGCATAAACAGACAAGGGGGAGCATATGGAACAATGAGTCAAAGGTCCTGAACTTGGTTAATTACATTTACGCATTTTACTATGTATCAGTTGTGCTTCACATTTTTACTGATGAGGAACTCCAAAAAACCAGTCAGAATCGTGTACGACATAACCGGAAGCTTGTTTTAATGGCCGAGTCCATCCATCAATCACGCTCAACTGTCTTCTCAGCATATAAATGTGATCCTGAACCTATCACATTGCAAATACAGTCAAAAGACTTTGTCCCACATGTTTTCAGAAGTTAAAATTCTACCAGTCAACCCATAGATTTAAGTAAAACTGATTGAGCATAAGAAGCTACAATATGTCACAAATGAGGTCAATAATGTGGGTGATTTGGGATAGATTAGAGTGTCAGTAGCTTATGGAGGGGTACTCATTAATTCATATCCGGGATGCTGCAGGACAAACGAGACATATAGCCAAGACGATTCAACAAGCACCGTAAAAAAGCATAGAAATACATTTTTTGCCACTCTGAAAATCAATTTATTTCTCGTCTTATTTATTTTCCATTGATCGAACAAACTTTAAAATAGAATACTTTATTTTCCTTCAATCCAGAGGTTTTAAATGGAGAGGATTTGAATACAATGGACAAAAGTAATGGTAGACCAAAGCATCTTGGTTCAAAGGACCAAATCCTATCATCCATGAAACAGGTCAATAACTAGACTTCTTTGAGAGATCACGAATGTTACTACAATTCATTTCCATCATGATCATGACTGAAATTCATTTCCATTGCTAAGAGATCAGCAATGGAAGCATTATAAGAAGTCAAAAGGCAATAAAATCTGTAAGAAATTCTCAGAATTAAGCACTCACTCAGTTCGAATCATCCCAAAAATTGAATCTATAAAATGCCATATCATCCTACAAACAATAAACAGAAGCAAGTCCATATAAATTTACAAGGGGCATGAAAGCTGTTTCTCAAAACTAGACTCCTAAGCATCTAACTGAGCACCATACATGTTAATCTTCATAAAATGCCAAAGGCTTCTGCATTCCCTTCAGAAACATTCACATTTATTTAAAGATCAATGCTAAAGCCATATTGCCACATGAACCCCCTTCAATCATTTTGGAGGAGAAAATCAGCTAGTTTATGAAAAGATCAATGCTATTTCCACCAAAACAAAACCAAGTAAATCTCTTCAAACTTCAAAGCTTCTCAATTTATTGACCACTTCAACTGCGATTCCTAACAGAGTGGTCTATAAAACAAGCCATGGAGTGCATTACAATAACAAATTCTGGGAAATTAAAATTACAATTTTGCCCCTTTTTCCCAAATAGGATACTAAATACCATTTTGTCTTCCTAATTTAGCGGCAACTCCATATGCTAGTGAAAGACAACACGTATAAACACAAGACACTGAAAATCACAAAGTGTCACTATTAAATAAATTATATTGAGTCTTCTAAACAGGAAATTGAGTTGCGATTATCTCACCAACTCCAGTTGTCCCAGTTAGCAATTTCTAGATATGGACAACCAGCGCATTACCCCAAAACAGAAACTGATATGGTCTTCACTGTACACTATCTGACTATCACATCTAACAAATCCAAAATTATATCAAGTCTAATGGATGTTTTAGAATCACACAATCTTATAATATATTGTAACTTGTTGACCCCATTTAGAGTTTTTATAATCGCTAATTCGCTATTCTAATTCAACTTTTACTTGCATGGAATTAATGAGTCATTGATTTTTTATACACAGGTGTCCCATCACGAAATCTAGCTGCATTCCTTCTATTATCCTTCTCTAATATTGTCAGTTTCTATGAAAGTCATTCGTCCATTAGTGCCTATGGTTAAGTTGTTCAAATCAGGTATGCTTTGACTTCCTGTTCAATCTCTAGAGAACAATAAAACAAACTTTTTGAGGCTCTACCAGCAACTGTTCATCTGGGGAATAGATTCAGATGCTTGCTTGCGCAAGATTTTGCCATCCTGAATAACTTGTAAAGTAGATAGCGGTTCCATAATCAAGACTTCAAGATATGGCCAGAAAGATTTCCTCAACAGGCTAAGTTTGGAGAAAAAACAAAAGGACGGCTCAGACAAAATAAACTGAGTCCCAACTGGTGGAGACTCTAGCTGCAGTAAGAAATTTTCTATGATCTGCAATAAGAAATTCTCTGACTGATGCCAGACAAGCACTTAGAGGTCAACGTTGTTAAGAGAAAAGCCTCATGAAAGCAATCACTAATAAAGGGAGTGCTCCTAACATGTTGAAGAACCTAGCTAAACCAATCCCACACTTAATGAGATAAGATGAAACACTATAGAGCAAGTAATACTTTATAATGAATGTCCCCTTGAACAGCTTAGCTGTGTACTAGCTTGCTTCACTAGTGTAGACTTTAAGACTTAAATTGGTGTATCCCTAATAGAGTCTGAAATAATTACCTGTATCACTAGCAATTTATATATCTATGTATTCTTCATAAGAAGTAGGATGTATGAAAGGGTAGCCTTTTGAGTCCAAACTCCATCAAGATCTCAAGCACTGGAAGTGAAGATGTAATTGGCCTAGGTTTGAGTCCTTTAATTGAATAGTCATTTTGTAACTAGAATTCAGCCATCTAAAGGATGCGTTTAGTGTACGCAACCTTTCCTTTACTAAGAGATTCTTGAAGGTGCTATCCTTTCATTGATGCAAATCATGCAACTAATCTATCAAGGATTTCATATATAGCTAGATTTAAATATCAATTTAATGGGGCAAAAGTTATACATGCCACTACACCATTCTTTTATTTGAACAATCAATCATTTCACATTCAGTATGACAGGAAAATTAGCTTTAAAAATTCATCAATCTCTTGAAATTATTGATGTCAACTGTGTTCCAAGATCTCGGGCAACTGCAAATCAGAACATCTGAGTCAACTCGGCATCTCAAAAGGGCAATCTGAAATCAAGCCATGACAAAGATTTCGCTGGCAAGTAGGAGATAAACAGAACCTAGAACTAGATCAGTCTGTATCGTTAAGATTGGCCAAGATTTTCTGTGAATCAAGGGCATCTCATGATAATTGATATGTCTCGGTATGGGTGAGTCATACAATGATACATACTTGGTCTCCTTCTACAGGATCCAAAAATGGATCTTTCTAACTCATTTATTTCCTTCCATCTACCAATCAACCCATTTTTCCCCACTACAATATACTAGATAACTCTATCTATGGAATTGAATTTGTTATTATTTCAGGTTTAAAGTGCCATGGATCTACAAGAGAGGATTTAGAATATATTTGGAAAAATACTTATACAAACTCTCTCGAAAACTGCACTACCCGATTCCACAACATAAATCTCATCAACAACAAAGCACGACAACATAAAGGAACATAATGAGGAAGAGGAAAATGTTGGAGATGATGATGAGAAAGATCATCATAACCAATTTGATTTCATTTACTGCTTTTTTTGGCTTATGGGTATTTTGGGATTGTTTTGAATATTGATCATGCAAGATTATACATTACTGTATCGTAATAGAATGCTATACGTTGTAGGCAAACTTGTAGACAATACTATATGTTCAAAGTGACGTATTTAATTCATTCTATATATAATCATTTTTTTAACAATTATTTTCTAGCTTTTCCATAAACGTTTTTTTTTTTTTTAAGCCTTGTAAATAGGATATCTTTTAGATTTTTAGGCTGTAAAATGTTCAGTTTATGAGTCTCTCATTTATTATGGATGTCAGAGTGCAAAAGGCAGAAACAAGCACAAGCAGTCCAAGCATTCCCAGCTTCCTCAGTAAACAATTAGAAATGTATTTTCAAATAATGTACAGGTTGCCTGCTTTTGTGCAGTTGCACTTTGTGAAGGAGGTTTTTTCTGTTAATTAGATTTTTATTAAAAGGTTGACATCAAATATTTTTCCAATTAGTATTAGTTTTTTTAATGGTTTAACTGTATTCAAAAGCGATTTGAAATGATTTATTGGGTTTAAGTGCTGTCTATCACCAATTCAACTACATAAAGCATTTTCCTAATCTTACACCCATTATTTATATAACAAAACAGAGTATCATAACTATCAATTTCATGTGGTGATAGGATCACAAATTCTACAACCAAGATTCTCCGGTTAGCAGTTTAGTCATTCCGGGCATAACCACAAATTTTTTTCAGACTATCATCAAACTTGCTCTTAGAAAATTAGATCCACCAAAAAAGAAAACTACATGTGCAAGTAAGCTACTACGAACAAACTGATTATAAACCAAAAAATTAATTATGAAGAAAAAATGGAAAGCAACCAAACCATTCTGACCTGCTTACGGGCTGCTGAGAGTTTCCATAGCTCATCCACCTCTGAAAATTTCGTGAACAATGGAATAAGAGGATGATTTTTGGTATCGCCTCTCTTTTCCTGATTCATGTCTTCAATTGGTACTGCAAAAAACACAGCAGGAAATCTAACCTCAAAGGAATTGTACTAAGATAAAACCTACAACTTCACGCAGCAAGGAATTTTACCAGGAGGCAAGTCCAAAGTAGCAGGAAGCCGTGGCACAGCCACAGCTGGATGATTCCGTACACGAGCAAGAAATCCCTCTGAAGGATCAGAAAAAACAATTTCATCATAAGATTCCACGACAACAGGTTTCTTGATCGACTGAGGACCAAGTCCGCCTTCAGGGTACAATTTCAAATGGTGATACCTGAAATAGTTACGACACCATTAATAATAGACTCAGTTAAAGCAGTCAAAAATACTAACAAAATAAATTACTCACAAATCCAACTTCTTATCGCAGGCATCGTTGTGGAAAAAAAGGGAGATCGCAATTTCAAATTCACCCCAACCACATTCTGACAACTCAAAGGGGGGAGATTCAACCACTCTCAGAGGATTATGAAAACTGGGATGCAACTGAAACACAACACGCTTAACCACAACACCAAGATCCTCATTGGTTGCACCACGTACATAGACTGTCCATTTATGTGACTGGGACCTAATTGATGAGAAGTTTTTTTTTGGGAATTAGTTTGTCAGAAAAAAAATAATAATAATAAAACCAAAACAGGGCGATATAAAAGAAAAACGAAAGAAACAAAACATAAATAGGATCTTACTTACTGGGTGGCCTTTCTACCGAGCCAAAATGAGATTGTTCCAAACACTATTGGAACAGAAATTTCAACACCTTTGAGTCTCGTGTTTGAACCCTATACAAAACCCACAAACCATATATTAAAAACTGAGAAGTAACGAAATAAATGCCGGGTGATCTCAAAACTTGGATTATGCGCAATAAGATTGAAAATTATTGGTTTTCACCGACTTTAAAGTCAAAATATGAACTAATCACTTTACAACCAATATTTTTCTTTTCGTGCATACTACTTATCTTGAAAATATGAACTAATCAAGTTACAACCAATATTTTTCTTTTCATGCATACTACTTATCTTGCAAATTTTAACACATTCATTTTTCCATGTAAATGTTAGAAAATCTCATGAAAAAACAAACCCAACAAATAGAGAGAACTATAAACCTATGTGCAATTAATACCCAGGAAATCTGGGTTTTATAAAACTAAATCGTAAATCATCAACCTTTTTTCGTTGAAATCTACAGAAAACCCATGAGAACTAATTTCATAAATTCTAGGTTTTTAATATTAGCATTTGCAACTCAGAATTCATAAATTCTAGGTTTTTAAGTGATCAAACTCAGAACAAACCAAAGGCACATATTGGGAACAAAGAATGAAAACGGTTACATTCATAAGTGTGACCTATTTCTGAATATGGCTATGCCAAAAAAAAATAAAAAAAAATAAAAAAAAATAAAAAAAAAAAGGACAATAACCCACAAACTGAAAGCCCAAAAATGAAAAAAAAATAATAATAATAACAAGATGGTTAACCACGAACTAGGGTTTGCGATGAACTGTGATAGCAGTTAAATTCCGGGACTTTAGCAACTCAAATGATGAACAAAACGTCCACAAAACGAAAAGGGTAGAATACCTGTGCGTTGTTGTTCCCGCTATTTTCAGAAGCTTTTCCAAATTGAATAAGCTGTGGCATTGGAGCAATTCCACCTCCATGTGGCTGATTTTCGCTTTGTGTTTTTTCAGACGACGTGAGGGACATTTTCAAGCAGTTGTGTGTTGTAGTATTGAAAATCAGCGATGAGTAATGTCAACTTCCTGCCCTTTTTAAAGAAGAAGATAAAAAGGTCGTGTGTGTGGACAAGGTAAAAAGGTTAATAGTAATAATAAATAAATAACGTTTCTCATGAATTTTTTTTATATATATATATTTTTTTGTAATTTCGCACACTAATACATGATTTAATGACTAACCCTCCCATTGGCCTAATAATCATTGATATATATATATATATATATATTTTGGTGAGACTCAAACATCAAGGCATCTAAAAGGCTAAAAAAATTCGATGCAAGTTTTAGACTTTTCTACTACGCTAGAATTTGCATGATTTAATAACCGAAAAAAAAAAGAAAAAGGAGTTTAAAAAAATATTATAAAAATCAAATAGAAACACCAAAAAACATGATGAGCTGATTCGTTTTGAGCCAAAATCGACTGAAGACGAATCTGAATTGGATACGTTTGAACATATTTGTGTGCTCCAAATCAGTTGGTGCTAATTTAATAATAAATTTTTATCATTTTGTCAATTAAAAACCAAATATCACTTTACTTGCTTGCAAACAGTTACACCAAAGTCCACCGATAATTCCAATATCAAATAAAGTGACAATCTAATACTAATGTTCCAAAAGCTATAATTAGTGGATTAATTAATTGATTAATTTTTTTTATTTTTGATAACTTAGGTTTAAACTTTTTAATTGGGCCAACAAGTCCCTTCAAACCTACCTGCACTAGGGTGCAAAATCCCCTTGTGTCTCATAGTGACCGATTCCATCGGTTGGTCTCGTCTGTATGGTCTTCATCTCTCTACATGATCTTTGCTATTAAATTTTGAGAGCTGGTTTGTTTCGTCTTCCTCCCTTTGCTTGATCTCTGGTATTTTAATTTGGGGGCTGCTTAATTTCATTTTCCCCTCTCTATTTGGTCTCTGTATTTTTAATTTGGGGGTTCTAGTGAAATTTATTTGATTATGGTCGAATTTGTTCCCTTTTGTATGAACGATTGTTGGCTCATTCCAAATTCATGTTGTTTACGTGTAATAGTAGTTAATTTTCTTCACTTTGTCTAAAAATTATTGATTCATTGATTCATAATTACTGTGTTGGTGTTCCTCTCTATATCTTTTTGTGTTTGTTCCGAATCATTTTCTTACTCAATTGAGTACCACAATTACTCTCTTTGAATTTTGTTGGGATTGTACATATAATATAAGCATGAAACAAACTCCGTACTACTTGAAATTTTGTTGGGATTTTATGTATAACATGAAACAAACTATGTACTACTTAGAATGTTAAGTAAATTATAATTTGAACTAGTGTTTCTCCGATTAAAATCAATGATTATCATCCCATAGGATTATGTTGGGATGTCTAAATTACAAACTGTTTGGGATCTTATGTACAAAAGTATTTACATAACAAAGAAAATTAAAAGTAAACAAATAATTAAACAAAAAACACTCGCTAGTTCAGAACATATTTGAAATTGCTCCTACTTTAAACCCAAACTGATATTTGAAATTGCACTGCAAATATTTCTATCTACTTTAAACCCAAACTATTTAGACGTAAGATTATATCCAAACAATTTATTCATGAACCAAATAAATAAACAGATGATTAATTTCCTTTGTTCGGATATCGTCCACTTATCTCCTTTCCTTCTTAATAATTTTTTTTCCCCTTTTTCTGCCATTGATTTCTTGCCAAAAAAGTATACTATTTGTTTGAAAATAAAATATGAAACTTGGAAATAATACTGTCTTTGTGGTCCAATGTTTATCTGTGAGTATACTAGTAGTAATTTGAAATAAAATGACCTAATATATGAAGAAAGGGTTGGAGAGAGGAAAATGTCAAATATATTTACTGTATATAAATAAAATACAAAACTTTAACCTTCCATAATTTTCACTATTCATGTACTCCACCGGAGGAACTGAATACTGATCTCCTAAACTAGTGGGAACTACGCAGCAGCCCAGGCCCAGCTAGTCATCCACATGAAGACCATCCAAATTCCAGGCTAAAATGCTAAACTGGCTCCAGAGCAAGCTTCAACCTACCGGGCATGAGAACGAACCACATATCTGGTTTTGTGGCCCATGTGCAGGCCCAACCCAACAACCTTGGTTATTTCTCTCCCCATGACACACCTTGGTTATTTCTCACCATCACCATCCAAAAATTTTAGCTCTCCTTTGGAAAACTACCAACTCATAGGAGAAATTATTACATAATTTGGGACTAGGCCAATCACAATATGACACGCAAAAAGAAAATTCAAATTTGAATAAAGTTGAAACATTTACTTGCGTGTCGGTTTATAATTGGCCAGGACCATGTAAAAAAAAAAAAAAAAATTAAATGCTTAGCAGGTATCAGGGTAAGATCAGATCAAAAACCGTTTCACTGATTTACAGCAATAATGTCAAACATCTACTCGATAACAACAATAGCTTGACAGGTTCTCTCAATGGTACATTTGAAGCGAAAAAAATCCTAAGCAGACCTCCCGATCCAATATCGCTGACTGACGCAGCTGGAAGGCTAGCAAGTGAATTAAGCCGATAAGCCATCAAGGCGACGAGCAATCAAAGACCCCAGACTAGGTATGGGATGCACTCAAGGCCATTACCTTGCATTGTTCATTCATGGCCAAGAGTTGAGCCTCTTTCTTGTCAAGAAGAGCACTCAACCTCACATTGTCTTCCATAAGTTTCTGGACTTCAGTTTCTTTCTGCATTTTCTCAGTCTCGAGCTGTGTCGTCTTCTCAACTAGCCTGCTCTCAAACAAAATAACAATTGGTATTAGTTTGGCATTTCAAACTATCTAGAGTGAAGAGTGACTAAAATGGCAGGCCATCACATCAATATTCAATCTTCGAGCAGGTATCAATAAATTATTCAGTTCATACCGATGAAAGCAAAGCTAGAAAATGAATTGCATCAACATTTTACATGTTTGGCATGATAAAATCAGAATCCGATGAAAGCAAAACTATAAAATGATCCAGGATTAAATAACTTATTCAAGTATAATCAGTTCACGTTTTGTTGAGCATGAGCTTTCCATGAACTAAACCTAATATGTCAAGTAGCTTAATCCTACATTGATTTCTAGCACGAGGATTGAACACAGAGGCAAACAGTACGTTAATGCATCTAGTGATTGTTAAGTGCTCCAATTTGACATTAACAGAGGTCAATTCAGGAATCTAAAAGACGTTTATCTGATCGTGTCAATCACAATAACCTTAAAGCTACTTTCTCAGGTAATCCTTGTCATGAGTTATTCAAATTTTGTATAAAGAACCTTCTTGCATCCAACATCCGTTTTCTCTAGGTTACCGGTCAAATAGCTCAGAAGCACTGATCTCCAAAGCCCAATAAAACAAAAGTGGGGAAAATGTCATCACAAGTCAACCCAACGTCTTTCGAGGGTAACACCAGACCAAAAGGGCCAAAGGAAAAACCGTAAAGAAGACTCAGTGACTGCTAATTCTTAATGAATTATAGCCACTATGGAATCCCCCTCCCAAGGCTTCCAAAAATGTACACCAACACTTCACATAACAAACTGAAAATCACTATTTGAGTGACAAACAGAAAGGAATCAATGGTGAAAATTAGACATAATAACAAAGCACGCTGATGCAAAAAAATATAGTTAGCATTTAAATCAGGCAGTATCTGAAGTTAACAAAGTGCAGCACCTATGATAGTTGAAAATAAAATACAGTTACCATTTTTATTCATAAGAGGAAGAACAGAACATACGGACCGTTCAAAAAGCCTTTCAATCGTTTGAAACTGCTTCTCGGATGAAAGAAGTGTTTCTCTGACACATATAAGACTATTAACATATGATTTCAGGGATTCAAAATCTTGCTTCACGCGGGAAAGCTCCTGCTCATTTTCAGCAGCTCGTTGCCTCTGTCTAGATGTTTCTTCTACCAAATCTTCTACCCTCTGTCGCATCTCATTTAAAATACAATTTGTACCCAGGGCAAATTTTTCCATTTCCTCTAACTTCATTGACATGTTGTCTATTTGGATTGCTTTCTTTTTAATCTCGTCATGTCCTAATGTTACCTTCTCTTTCTCAATAGCAGTTTCCGATTCTGCCATAATAACCCTCTTGACAAGAGTTTCCATAACATCTGTGACCATTTGCACACTCTTCAGTAATTCACTAACATAAGCTCCATCTTGTACATCAGGGGAACCTTGCTGATTACTAATTCCAAACCACGTTTCCTCATCTGGACTGTCAAAGGAAGAAAGATCAACATTCCTAGACCAATCAGACAGTGGTAAGCCATTTTTGTCAACAAGCCCCACCCCATCTAATTGTTTGATACCACATGAGGTATGGGCTAAATGAGGAACAGCCATGATTCTTGCTTTTGATTTCAAGTACGTCAATAATGTTGCTGCAGTTTTAACTCTCCGCCAAAGAACCTCTAACTCCCTTTTTCTATCATCCTCAGACCCCTGTATACAAGCATTAACCTCTGTGAGTTTTGCTTGTAATATGTCTACTTGTGATTGGTTTTGCTCCATCTCCTGCTTCCATGTTATGTGTGTTTGGCTTAGTTGAGATTTCAAAGCTGACAAGTTAACATCTTCCTCCAAGGCCATCACCTTTCCAAATTATGCACAAGTAATATAAGAGCATACTTAAATAAGAACAAAAAATCAATAATCAAGAATCAAACATCCAGAGGAAGATACTGACAAGGATCAATTTGAGGAAATTTTCTCAAATGAACTTCTTTATAGAGAATACATATAAAGATCCGGCAGATTCTTAAGTTGTGAAGTGAAATATGTCTAAGCAGAAGCCTACAGATTATCATAACTGTTGCCAAAGATGTTATACATTTATATTTTACTTGTTTCTATGTTGGAAAGATTCACAATATCCACATAGTACACCATTAATACATAAGAAAACCTGTAATAACTGCCAGAATTTAGCTAGCAAAGACATACAACATGGTTTATCATGATCAAAGTACATGAGAACCTACGCTTATATTTGAAAGTTCTAAAGATTTGGAGAATATGCACCAGGACTAGCCGAAATCACTGAAAGTTCTTGCCTTCAAAATCTAAAGTGAATCCAATTGGGCAATGGCTAACCGGATCCTTAACTTTATAAGTATTTCCTAAAACTTAAACCTTGAATGAGAACTCACCGTTGTTTGACACTGATTCTGTCAGCGTCCACATTGATACAAATCATACGATATTAAATAGCTGTCACAAAGTATGACGATTCAAGAGCTTGTATGTCAGGGTCACATAAGTTATGGGAAATGTTGGTATTCATGCCCAAAATCCCACATAAAACTTTGTCAAAGATTTGAAAAAACTCTGTTAAAAAGTAAGTTTTTTTTTTTTTCTATCTAATTTAAAGCGTTGTCATTATACATGGGCAGAGAGAGCAAGGTTAAGCTATTTGAATGGTTCTAATAATGCTTTACTGTGCCTTTTCCTCATGCCATTTAACACCTAAAAAATACGATCTGCATGTACTCACTGTAGACTGCTCATTTTGAATAGCCACATGGCCAGAGCAACGACCAATCAATTAATACATATAACCATAAAGTTGCCACACGGCATTACAAACACATTTTAACTCTCTACCTTAAACACATTTTAACACTATATTCCTGCTTGGGCCGGAAGCAAGGACAGGGAAAACAATTCACTTGGTCTTTGGACAGTGGGATACACCCAATGGCATGCACCCACTGTGGAGAATGTTGGAGGCTTTAAGCACACCACTGTTTGAATGTTTTGACTTTGCTACTGAAGCAAAAACGTCATCCAAAAATGATGATGGGCAATGGCTGACAGCCATCCCTTGTACCCATAAACCCCAAAACCTAATGAAGACAGAAAAGTGTCACAGGTCTTTGGTATGACTACCTGCAGACCTTACCAGCAGTCAAGCTAGTACCTTCAATGTAAAATTAATTACTTCTTAATTCAGATGTTGAAGAACAATTTTTTTGTATGAAGAACAATGACCTCCGAAAATGCATATGCTTGAGACACAAATATAGCATTGAAATAAACCCCACCTCAATTACAGTAGGATCTTCAGCTCAAATAAGGGCATCATCTAATAAACTAAAATCCAAACCCTATCCAGGAAACATTAACTTACACATCAAATATGACAGCTCAAAATTATATAATCTAACTATAAAATTATAAATCAAAAGTATTTTGAGTTCTATGCTCTAATTCCGCACAACCCAACAAAATTTGCCCAATTTTCTATCCAGAAAGAATCACATTCCAAGAAGAAGAAAAAATTAAAATCAACACATGATTTCACAGCCTTGATAAACCCTATATTCGACATGTGCAAGTGGCTTAATTTTCATTGATCTGAACACGGCAACACATTATGGCAAGCCCTAATTTTAGAAAAAAAACAAACAATTTCTTCAAAATGATAGATAACACGTGATAAACAAAAGAGGCGATAAGGCAACCATACACAAATCGACAGCAATTTCATAGATATTTGGAGATCTGAACAAACACTTTTTTCGCAGAAGAATACAATACATGTGCGATCAAGATATGGGTCACCTTCTGATTTGACGAAAAATTGGGAACTTCCAACAGGTCTTTGATGATTGTAGATGGAGATAGATACGTTGTGTTCATCCAACACGCGTTGTGAAGAAAAAAAGTTTAATACTAGTAATTCACAATGATTAATGATCTGAACAGATGGTAGGTTGTTCCTGTTTGCTTTTCTTTTTCTTTGCATCCTTTTTTGTCAAATTACAGTTATCTCCCTGGATGTTGTAATCCCAAAATAGCATGTCTAAACCACTTCTAGAGATTCTCACATCACCGATATATATATATATATTATTTTTCTTTTCTTTTCTTTTCTTTTTTTTTTTTTTATTTATAATTTATGCATATTTTTTTTGTAACATTTATATGAATTAAATATAAAAGAGTACTGCAACTTTTTTTTTTTTTAAAGTTAATAGTCAATTTGTATTGAAATTTTCAAGCTATAAAAGCAACATATTAGTGTATATTCACAATGTTAAACAAATTGGTTCTACCATCATTCTAAGTTCTACTTTTCAACAAATGAACTTATTGTTGAAATTTAAAGTCAAAATCATTTAGTTGATGAACTTTCCAGCTGATGGAAACTATTCACAAACAACTTGTGTTATTTACAACCTGACAAGGAAAAAGATAATTATCAAATTGATGATGATAGTCTATGATGATTTTTAATATACAAAATTAGTTGGATTTAGAGTTTAGACACATATATTTAGAATTCAGTTCCACTCACAAATTATATATCATAATTCGCAGTATTGGTCGCGGTGTAACGGACTCAGACAAAATCAGTGTAAATTAGTATATACGAGTCGCGTATCGGATTTGAAAAAAGATTGCGTATCAGATGATACAGTGAACCATGCTACATATGTTGTGATCTCGCTTGCTAACACTACCCCAGACCAATCTAGCCCCAAAACCACCACTAGGGTAAAGTTTTTATACATGCCACAGACCACCATAAGCTATTCATGATGCTAAGAGTTCCCATGTTTTTCTATGTCTTCCATCAACAAATAATTTCAACTTGTTTGCGTTTGCATCACGTGAAAAAAGTGAAATCAACCTCCTTATAAGGTCACTTATTTGGAAAACTTGTGTTAGTCAAGTTGTGACAAAAGAATTATAGGAAGCTGAAAATCGTACAAAAATTTGTTTGGTTGCAGTTTTTTAAAAGCTCGATTATAAAAATGTATGTTTTCAGGGAACTATCTTTTCTAGTTCACTTAAACCAGTTTTTTATTTTCTAAATTCTTGAAAATTGTTTTTCAGAAAACTGAATCAAGCGGGCGGTTGTAAGTTGTAACACAACCTCTGACAACCGCCCGCTTGATTCAGTAAAAAGTAAGACAAACTGAATCAAGCGGGCGGTTTTATTTTCTAAATTCTTGCAATTTGTTTTATTTGTTTTGCTTTGGCCAAAATTCACTACCTTATAGTGATGGTTATGTAGTTATAATTAGAATCACTTCTTGTGGTTTATATTTGAGAAAGTAGAGAAAACTTACAATAGCTTATAGTGATGGTTATGTAGTTACAATTAGAATCACTTCTTGTGGTTTATATTTGAGAAAGTAGAGAAAACTTACAATAGCCCAGTAAAAAGCAAGACAAATAAAACAAATTGTAAGTAAAATACAGAACACTGGTAGCCATTAAACAATGTAAATAACTGTCTGTTTTATATATTACAAAATTTTGGAGTTGGTTAATACATGAGTAACCATAACTGCATAAAAAAGAACTGCACATGGTTAGCTATTCTATAAGGTAGTTAAGTACTTTTCTTTAATGGAACAAGGCAGGATCAGCTATACTGAGGTGCCATTTCATGTAAATGGCTGAACTACTGAAGAAGTGGCGACCAATCTCGAGAGGAGGCCAACAACAAAGGCGCTGTTGTAAGTGGTTGGTTCACCTTGCATAAAATTGTTCCGGGAATCAATGTAGGTTTCATTCAGGAATAGCCCCCAACAAGCCCTCCAACTGCTGTATTTGGATTGGGATCTGTTGACTTAAGCCACTTGAACCCATCGCGACAGCTGGTGTTGGCATTAGCAGGAATTGAAGCACCTCTGTGGTGTACATATTGAGGATAATTGTTGCCATATCCAACAAGATAGCTCATCTTAAGTGGATTGTTGCCTAACACATAATCAGCCTGAACATAATCTGAAGTCAGCTCAATAGTGACATTAAGAGGCAAAAAGAATGTGCATATAGGAAAGAAAAATCATATTAGAAACAATTCAAATGAAGAGTGAGAATATCTAAATGGACTCCTATATGCAATAGTTAAGATTTTCAGACTCCGTGTTTAACAGTTTCAACTAAGCAAATTCTAGTAGGCACAATCTTTTCCCCACAGTATTTTTTAAGGAACAAATTGAAATTGCTTCCAAACATAAAAAAAAAAAAAAAAAAAAAAAAAAAAAAAAAAAAAGCCAGATAAAGCCATTATCCTAGGTTGCTTGACATAAAATGGCTAGTGAAGTGCGCGCTCTTGCCATTACGGGGTCTAGGGAGGGTCAGACATACGTAGCCTCACCCCCGCATGTGGAGAGACTGTTTCCATGAAAAACAAATTCCAATGGTCCAATATGTCCAGAAAACTAAGGCATTCCAAGTCAAGTTACAAATAGAAATCAACAATTCTCTGTATATATTTTTGTGTTTATGTATGTGTGTGTATTCTATTAACTTAAGGTAATTATGGATTATTGCAAAAGTTGGGATAAATTGGATTGGACTGTGTGAGATAATGCAAGTAAGTCGATTTAGCATTTGGAATTTACTGAAAACATGTGTCGAATTAACTGGCCAATCCCTACCAACCTCACAAGGCAATTGTGCAGTAAATCTGAACTAACAGAATACCTGCAAAATGGCAAAGTTGCGAAGGTCCATTGGATTGTATAGCTTCCCATTGCAATATAGATTTGAAGTCTGCGACCTAAGCATGTAATCACTATAAAGAAGTGCTAGAAATGAATAGGCCACAGTACACTGCAAGACATTCCACTGGCTCACCTATATTAAGCCACCTGCAATAAAAATGATGGGTTTCACACTTTCCCTTGCTAAAGAATGCCTTCCAAAACGAAATGATGCACTCCAGTTTATGGTCATAAAAGTACAATCTCTTTTGAATTTAAGACAGTCAAAATCTTACACTTAAGTACTCCGCTCCATGTGATGTTGTGACAAGGCTATGAAGTTAACATTATCCAACAAGTAATGAACCCTTCATTAGAGATCAAAAACTACTTACTCAGAAGAATAAACATACATGTATATATATATGGAGATTTTATGCCTTATTTCTTTAGCACAAAATTTTGTAAGAGAAAAATGCTGGAAAAATCCCCAAAGCATAGATAGATGGTCATTATCTTGTTATCATATTTTACATTTACCGCATACAATCAATGTTTGTGTATGTACCACACACCCTTGTATAACACTAAAGAACATTTCTTCGAAGAATGAGGCTTCAAGCTAGTACAAGGGATCGAAATTTTTTTGAATTGCTTTGGCAACTTTTGGTGCCATACTGAATAGAAAAATAAATTTACATTACCATTTGTTTAAAATGCTCTCTATTTAAATTTAGGGCAATGTCATTTATAGGATATAGGTCAAGGAAGCGTGATTCGTTATCGGAAAAAGAACAAATTTAAACAAATTCGTGATTCGTGATTAAATCCGTTTTGAGTGCTTTGTCCACTTATGTCATGTCATGCTTTAAGCTGCCACATCACCTTTGTTATTCCATTCTTACGTATGTTCGTAAATTTTGGTGGAATAAAGCGAATGCATCTGCTTCTATTAATTAGGTTAAATGGGAGTCTTTGTGTAATGCTAAAGAGGAAGGGGGGTTAGGGTTTTGAAAATTTGAGGCCTATAGTGCTGCTTTGTTAGCTAAGCAGGGGTGGAATTTTTTGGTCCACCATTCTGGGATGGCTTTTAAGCTCTTTAAAGCCAAATATTTTCGCAATTACTCCTTTTTAGAGGCTTCGTTTGGCTCAAATCCTTCTTAGGCTTAGCGTAGTATTTGGTCTACGCAATCACTTTTTGCTACTAGATCCAACTGGATTGTGGGAAATGGTATCTCTATTAATATCTGGACTAATAAATGGGTCCTTGGTCTGTCTGGCAAGATGATACGACAGCCTCAGTTGGTTCTTCTTGAATTCATGGGGGATTTATTTGATTCTCAGCACACTGGTTGGAATGGCGGCCCACCTTCTTAATCAGCTGAGAGAGAAAGAAAGAAACAGATAGATATAGATATATAGAGATAAAGTAATGGGCATGAAGAAAGGAACGAAAGTTGATTTATCGAAGGCGGTTTACGACTGATCTTGAAATTTAAGACTCTCACATAACTCTCTCTATCACCTTATTTGATCTTGATCTTGAAATTTAAGACTCTCACCTAATTATCTTTCTCGGTTATAAAAGACTATAAGTAGAAGTCCGTGGTTCCTAGTAGAGGGGTCACTACGCCGCCTTGTTTCCCTGTCATTTTTATACATGCCACAGACGACCATGAGCTATTCATGATGCTAAGAGTTCCCATGTTTTTCTGTGGCTTCCATCAACAAATAATTTAACTTGTTTGTGTTTGCATCATATGGAAGAAGTGATATCAACCTCCTTATAAGGTAACTTATTTGGAAAACTTGTGTTAGTCATGTTGTGACAAAAGAACTATAGGAATCTAAAAATCGTACAAAATTTGTTTGGTTGGAGTTTTTGAAACTTTAGTTATAAAATTGTATGTTTTCAAGTAATTGTCTTTTCAAGTTCACCTAAACTAGTTTTTTTTCTTCTAAATCCTTGAAAACTGAATTAAGTGGACGGTTGTAAGTTGTAACACAACCTCTGACCATATTATTTACTTTGGCCAAAATTCACTAGCTTATGGTGATGGTTATGTAGTTACAATGGTTACGTAGTTACAATTAGAATCACTTATCCGTGGTTTATAGTTGAGCTGTTAAATATGTGGCTCAAACTGAGGTCATCCATTCCCTCAGCATCTTGCATCAGCAACTTGGGCTTCAAGTTTGAGTGCCCAACAAGCCTAATTCGGGATCACCAAGTCTTGTTTTTTTGTGTGGTTTCCAAGCAGCATTGTTTTGGTGAC